TTCGAACAGATAGACGTCACGAAATAGATTGTGGTACAATTATCTATGTCTGTTCGGATATTCAGGCGTGTAAAGTTGGGAATGCATCTCTTTATGCTACAGATGACTTTACTTAGGTTACCGTAAGTTTAGGATCTCAAAGTTATCTACCGGTGAGACGCATATACAGACCACCTAATGAGGATACTAACTTTGATAGATTACTAACAAATATACCCTTCATTTCTTCTTACCAACCGTATACGCTTAAAAACTTAGGAGGTTATTTTAGTCTGTCGAACATTACATGGGGTTAGACTTCAGTACCGGGTCGACATAATAAGTTAGTTGAAACATTGGGACATTGCGGATGGGTCCAAGAAGTCTGAAACCGACTAGAAGGAATAATATTGTGGATTTATCATTTACAATCAAAATAGACTCTATCTCGGTGCACATCAGTCATGAGTTTTTATTGAGTGATCATAGAGTTGTGTGGAGTATTATTCATTCTCTAAACACTATGCAATTGAACTCTAATGATGGAACAATGTACCAGAGCAGACAGTTTAATCAACACAGCTGGAAGTGCACTGAGACTCTTATTCAATGATTACCATGCGAACCTTATTATACCACAAAGAATATTGACACTAGTCTTTCTGGTTTATACCACAACCTGACATACTGCCTCGACTGCATTGCCCCAATTATTGGCCATGTGGCTTATAACTATAATAGGGGCCAGAATACTGTTAAGAATTTTAAGAGAAAGCTGGGGAAATTGAAACACCGCTACCATAAGCATCATGACGTAGTATACTTAACCTGATCGACAAAAATGCTTCATCTAAACTGAAGTATCTTATAACTATAGAAAATAAAGCCCTAGGAAGTAAAACCCCAGATTTATCAATACTTTGGCTCCTCTAATCCCGCATGAAATCGAATCCTCTTGACACAACTAAATTCTACATAGTTAGCGAAAGCATTGTTGATGACCCTGGTACTATTTGTGAACAATTCAGCCAGAGTTTCTCGTGATTCTGCAACACTGAAACTGAAACCTTTATCAATACATTTCCAGTGCTGACATCTAGACATCTATCCAAAATTGATTTAATATCCACCAACATCAAACACGCCATAGCCACTCTGAAAAAGTCTTATGATGGTGGACCAAACGTGATTCTTTTATCACTTGTGAGATATGGTAGTAGATAATTCCCATTATTTTGTTTAAAACGGTTCAACCTATCTATGGAATGTGGAGCCTATCCATCTTCATAGAAAGCATCCCCTATCACTCCTAGATTCAAAACTAGGTTAAGTAGTGATATTGTCGACTATAGGTTAATTAATTTGACATCCGTGCAGTCAAGAACCATGGGAAAAACATCGACAAAAAGCTATTATTTACTTTTGGCTAACCTGATTAGCCCATACCAACACGGGTTTATGACCAAACACTTATGCTTTACATTGCACCTGGAATTATGTGGTCAAATTATCCAGAGAAGAGATGTTAGCCAGTTAATGATAATGCTGTACTTTGATTTTAGTGGGGCCTTCGATAGTGTCTCACATAAACTTCTAAAAGTTTCTTCACTTGGTGTACGAGATTCCCTTTTATCTTGGAACAAATCTTTTTCAGAAAAACGTAGCCAAATCGTCTGCTTTGAATCGCGCTACTCTAAACCTGTTAATGTAACAAGTGAGGCTATATAAGGAAGTGTGATTGGTCCATTACTCTTACAAAGGAAAATCGAGATAAAGAAAAAATGCTAGCTAGTGTCTTACGTTCAATAGTCGTTTGAATGTTCTGGAAATCTTACTCTTCTTCCAGAGCGCTTTGTTTTAAGTTTATTTTCAGATATTGCTGAAGTAACAACGTGCATATAGACTGTCGGATGAAATACTACAGGTTTAGGAGCCGTATCGTTCGATAGTACCGAAGAAAAATCGACGTGGGTAGGATTTCTTTCTAAATAAGCTGCTTTAATTCGATCGATACTGATGCTATTGTTCTTATCTACTATATAGTACTTAGGTTCACGCTGAAGAACTTTGAAGGATTCTTCGTATGCTGATTCGAGGGATCGTCGATGTGAGTTTCGACATACGAAGATACGCAGGTTTAACTGAACGCATTTAGTTTGTAAGCCTACTCGTGTAGGAGTTTAGATCCATGTTCATTGAAGAAAATGAAGGATCCACGAATTCTCCTGGAATTCGGATTGTCGTTACATAAACGAGTTGAGCTGCAGTGTATCCAATGTCACCTTTCGCTCAATGGCGAATACCTAGTAAGATGAGTGGAAGAGCGTGGGTCCATTATGAAACGTTTGCAGTCGATAGCGAAGCTTTTAATTGTCAGTGAAAGTGTTCTGCCAACCCGTTTACTTGTGGGTGGTGGGCGGTTGTTCGGAAGCGAGTGATTCCTAATAGTGTTGTCAGACAACGGAAAAGTCCAGATTTAAACTGGCGTCCGCGGTCTGTAGTGGTAGTTGAAGGGCAGTCGAAATTTGTTACCCATCGTTTGACGAAGGCGCAAGTTACTGTCTCAGCAGTAAGGTTCTTGATAAGAGATGCTTCTGGCCATCGAGTGAAACGGTCTACGAAAGTAAAGAGGTGGGAGTACTTATTTGAATCTGGTAAAGGCCGTACCAAACCCAGATGAATATGGCCGAAACGATCATCAGGAGTTTTGAATGAGCCTAAGTAACATTTATAGTGTCTAATCACCCTAGATTTCTGGCAACTTACACATGAGCATGGCCACTCCCTCACGTGTTTATTCGTACTGTAGTTAACAAGAACATGGATGGGAATAATGGAATGTATTTGACACGGAAACTGCAGACTATCTCGCTAAAATCTGACAACCATACAGTAAACAATTAATTTGCAAAATAACAATTATCTCAATCTTGACAGTTGTTACAGCCTTCTGGTTTTGGAGCTATCGAAGGAATCAACTCGTTTTTCTGGCGCGTAATCTTATTGTAGTGGTGATCATGGCAAATCGCGACTCGACACCCATTTACATTTGGTGAACCAAATTTTCGAACACGTTTCAACCTTTGGCAACCTTTCCAAAGAGGATTGCTACGGTGAGTCTATTATTTATTTATCCACTTTTGTTGCACGTATTCGTATTGATATTTTTCTATGTATAATATTATTATTATTCTGACAACTCAATACAGTGGATAACAATAAGAATAGTAATAATATAATGGACTCAGAAGTACAGGCAATTAGTTTTCGACTGGTTCCCTTTATTCTCCACGATCTAGATGTTTGGCAGCACTGGACTCTCAATTTGAGATCCGCCGTATAACGAACCAACGGGCGAAAGTATGCCTACGCTCTGGAATCTTTGCCTGGGGATCACTTAACTGCTGTCAATGAAGTTGTTCTCAATCCAAATGTACCGAACGTCTACGATCGTCTCAAAGAGGCAATCCTTAGAAATGTCCTCAAGTCAAAGGAGGAACGATTGAGAATTTTGTTAACAAGTCACCCTATGGGTGACGCTAAGCCGAGCCACCACCTCATGCGCCTGTAATTTCCTTCAGGAAATACGAGAGCTGACTGTGAGATTGTTAGAGAACTGTGGCTCGAATCCTTACCAGTTAGTATGCAACCAACCATTGCGGCTCTGCTCGAGGACACCCCACCCAACCAGGTACCCCTCATAGCAGATATGACACTGGCACGGACTAGCATCTGAGACAACTACATAGTTGCCTCGGCATCACGTTCAGACATTGCCCTTGATAGGGGTATTCACACCCGTTACAGCCTTCTGGTTTTGGAGCTATCGAAGGAATCAACTCGTTTTTCTGGCGCGTAATCTTATTGTAGTGGTGATCATTTTAAATCGCGACTCGACGCCATCTAGAAATGCTTTACGCGCAGTGTCGTCCAGATTAATGGATGTCACATTTCTACAAAGTTGGTCAGTTAGCGGATTCATAATGGACGCGTATTTTGAAATGAACTGTCTATAGAAACTTACAAGACCGTTAAATGTGCGCAATCGCTTGGTGGTGGTCGATTCTGGGTAATCCAGAGTGGCCGCCACTTTGCTTCTAAGAGGTAGGATGCCTTACGTGTCAATTGTGCTTTAGGAAATCTAAGGAGTTGGTTCCGGTTTGACATTTCTGAATGTTTGCACTAATGCCGTGCCTTTGAAGGCGTTTGAACACAATGTTCAGATGCTGGGGATGGGATTCTCTGTTGGGACTTGCTACCAAGCAGTCACCAACATACGCATGTACGAAAGTTGAGACATCGGAAAATGTCATCTATGAACCTTTTGAAAGTCTGAGCAGAATTTCTTAGGCCGAAAGGCATTCGCAAAAATTCGTAGAGTCTTATGGGAAATATGACAGCGCTTTTTGGAATATCGTCAGTAACCATAGGGATTCGGCTATTGACTTTAACTAAGTCAATTTTCGAAAAGACAGTTGTACCTTTCAAGGTATCTGTCAAATAGTGAATGTGAGGCAACGGGTAACGATCGGTTTTTGCATTCAGTTGCCCTAGTCACCAGTTGGACTCCAATCATTGCTGTCCTTTTTAGAGACGATGTGCAAGGGAGCTGCCCATGAACTGTTCGATGATCGAATGATTCCTAAATCTATCATGTAGTCCAATTCGTTTTTAGCTAACCTCAGCTTTTCGGGAGTCAGTCGACGTGCTTTTGAGAATACAGGTGGTCCTGTAGTCGTGCTGTGATTGTGACATTGCTGGTTACACATTGCGGTTGGTATATCCCAAAGTACTTATCGAGTAATGGTTAATAGCATGGGTCTATTGTGTATCTAATTGTGACTGACAACCCTATATCCTTAGCAAGCTCTGATTTTAAGCTTAAAGAGTAACATCGTCTGATGGGATTCAGGAGAGAATTTTAAAGACGGAAATAAGTATCGAAAACTCGGGAGTTATCGGAATTATGTATGAAGGATATTGGACAATGATCTGTTCTCAAGTATATTTTTCGGCAACCCTTTGGATTTATTCTTGCGTTCGCAACAATCTTCAAACGTAAGGAATTCCTACAAATTACAAGTATTTACTCGTAAGTTTTTTCAAAACATTGCTTCGAATCATCAAATTAACAAATCTTATATTACACATTGTATTTAGTATATTTGTTTGACAAACCTAACCTCCCTATTTGGGGAGATTTTGGAAAAGCCGTTATAGAAAATTTTGGGGAAATGGCACAAAACCCCCAAATTTTCCCCAGAATCTTATAACACTTTGGGGAAACTCTACGCTCTGTGATTGCACTCCAATATTTTTTTTCGCATTTTGTGGAAATTCTGCACGATTTCGGGTTACCCCCGATAATGCATTCGGAAAAACCCCAAGACCACCGATTGTACAAAAAAGCCTATCGACTTCATAACATATACCCAAGAGTTACTACTCACCTACTCAATTTTACTTCTAGTTGACTTCGCAAAACGGACGCAGTTCCAATTGGAACCAATTGCTTTAAAGCAATTGAACCATAGTCGGTAACAAGAACCGGTCTGTCGAGATAGATAAGCATTGCCGTAAGTAAAAGATTAATGCGTTATAAATAAAAATGTTTATCAAAGTTTAGAAAAGTACAAATTATCCATTAACAAATGACGTCTTCGAATTCTTAACAACTGCTAGTGCGTTTCCACTGTGTACATCAGGTTGATGTTGAACTTCCATCCACAGTGTTGTACAAAAGGAAAAAAGGTTACTCTTCTGTATTACAAACGCAGTATCAAAATAGCCAAATTATTAATAGTAGACAAACGAATGCCCTATGTCATAGCAATCATCCAGCCTATGAATACATAATGCTATGTGAAAGGTTGATTACGTACCAATGGTGCAACAATAATGTTAGCTGAATTAAGAACTTACAGTCAGGTCTGTGAACACTCGGAAAGCCAGCTGAAAATAAGAGATGGGAAATAATTATTTCAGTATAAATGTTTATCAGAAACTAATATAAAAACAAACAAGTATTCAATTACAGATCGAAAGTGCATTTAATCTACCTTTCCTTTGGATCGCTACCCACGCTTATTTACTTTATCTCTTACGTTATGTAAGAAAGCCTGGCTTGCGACATCCATGACTTCTGTTATTTCTTTCTCCGGACAGGTTGCACTTCGAAACCATGAACATAGAATATTTATAAATATATTAAAACTGATGTGAATTTACTTTGGATCGTCCCGTAGATTCTGTAATTACTGATACCTATCTTACTTTTAGTCCCATGTTAGGTGTAATTAATTGTCAGTTCCGGCGTCAGCACGCAAGTTAGACACACTTTGGTTGATTTTTAAAGATCATTATCTACGATCTCGGACAATCTGGTTACCTGAAATTTTATAAAAAGCTGTCACAACTTACGAACTGGTCACGAAACCTCAAAGCGGCTTCAATAGTTGGCAGTTCCTCAGGTGTTTTTAAAGGGAATGCGCAACTTGAAGTGTCTATGTCGCCGTACCTGTCCTCCGCACCAATGGATGCTTATTTATTTATTTAAGCACATGAATATTGGTACAAGGAAGCACCAGATATATATGCGCCGCTCAAATCTCATTTGATTTGTGTGAGGGCTATTATACTGCCCAGTTGCCCAAACTGAAGCAGGTACCCATGGATGAGCTTCTGATGTAAGCAGCCAGTTTGTCCACCACGATATACCGTCCGGATTAATGCTAAAAATCAATGCCATAACATTCGAAATTATAAAATTATTACATTCATGAACTCCAGAACATTCCTAATAACTGGACGGTGAACGATGCAAAAGCGATAAGCAACATGCAGACCTACTACACTAAACTATTATATTTGCCACAGGCCTTGAGAAATGATGTCATGAAAATGTATGCAATAGGGGAATGATAGCCTCGTAATGTTGTGTTAGTATACAGATACACTTGCAAAGTATATATCAGTCTAATCCACGTACACATGGCTTACGATAGAATGCTTGAATATACCTATAGTACTGGAGGGAAAGGGCTTAGTAAAGAAATCCGAAGGGTTGTGGAGTGCATTAAACCTAATCCTGCCGCCATCAGTAATTTGTGTGATGAGCCCCGGATAACTGTTTGAAATTACAATGTTGTTAGGCCTGGTAGCTGACAACTTTGAGTTTTTGCAAGCAATGATTTCCTTAGAGAAATCATAACTGATCTCAGACTCAGTCACATTGTCTAACATGTCCTGACTCAGTAGACTTTAAAAGTAAACTTCGGCATATCGCTGTACAGCTTGTTTAGCCGCCGCAAATCTTCAGTGTACTGAACGCCTAATTTTTCGCATATAAGATTCGATAAGAAAGGCAGAAAGTGGTTCTAGATTGCTATGTTCACTGATGTATTCAACAATGTGCTTTAAACTATGCATATTATAGATTAAGTATTCCCAATAAGTTGTTCAGATTAACGTGAACACTGTTGGGGAATATAGTGTGCGACTTTGGGTGTGATAAATATACTGATAATGATTGACGGAAGTTTCTGTACAATGCTAATGGTAACTTATCGTGAAGAACTACAGGACTTAAGTACAATAAAAACAACCTGCATTCAGTTGCTTTCCAAACAGAAACTTCATGCAGCGAACGACATTTCCTTTGAAAGTCGCGTGTCTATGGCTACACTGATAGATGGGTAAATAAATTGATCCATCCGCTTTAGTCGCTTACTGGCTAGATCCTTCCATAAGGAAATTAATTTCTTGGTTACGTCTAAATACATCGTGTGCATCGGTTCTGACGGGAAAACTTTCAATATATCTAGTGGCAGATTTTCTAAGGAACCACGATGATGAATTGATTAGAACCTACTACAAAAAGTGACATCACCTCTCACGTCGTGTTCACCATTGGGGAAAGTCATTTGACCGCCCAATCGTGTCCCTAAAATCTTACATTTGTCACAACCAGCTGTACCACTGTGTCCAACGACATACCTGATTTTGCTACGAGCTGGAGTGTCACAAATAACAGCCACAACTTTACTGTCAAATGTAATTGACACTTATTTATATGAAGCCTGGTGTCAGCAACTCTTGTAACTCAGTTACAAGTGCTGCGAACATTTCATTAAAATCGGGTGGTTTTACTTTACCACCATAGATACCAACTATAAATATTTCACTAAGGGGCAGGTTTACTAGACGACCTAGGATTGGCCACATCTGTTGGTTATAGCTTTTGAATAACAACAGGCTATCGTAATTGAGTTGCAGTTTCATTTCACTGAAACTAATTTTGCGTAGCCGAATTTTGGAAATCCTCAGCAAACCTAATTTCAGTCCAATGTACTAGTGTATTCCTGTATCCAGAAACTTGGGTTCCACATTATGGCAACGACTAAGTACATTTCAGACGGACATGGGCAGTTCAGGAACTTACACTAAGTAAAGTTTCAGAATTCTGTTGGCCTTCTTAACAGTTATGTCAACTCCATTCATCATCTCAATTACAACTCTGTCTAGCTGTTGCTTCGTTGAGAGATGAACAGGTGGAGACATTTCGTTAGTAGCACCACCTAAAGTTCGTTAAAAGAACCTAGACTATACCATTTACTGCACTAAGTGTACAATGAGTGTAACTAAAAAAGGCAATGGCCGATTCCGGGGCTACTACACTAGTGTAACAACCTAGGTTGTAACTGTTATATCTTGTGGCCGAGTGGATGGGTAGTTGATGTGTGACTCGATAGAACCGCCAAACAGGGAGCAGCGAATTCTCGATTGGAACAGTGACACGAAACCCGTACGAGCAGCCTAGATTGCTAACCGATCCTGCGATCTGCCTAACCCAGCCAGTTGAGTCCAGAACACAAATAACAGCCTCGGCAATATGGATCATTATTTACAAACATAATGGGTTTTTACACAAACCAAAGTAATCAATAACTGAGTATAACTCAAGAATCGTATGATAATAAATCAAAGATCAAAATAAAGCTCATGATAAGAGAAACACAAATATGAATCGTTTAGTTACGTAACAATTGTACAATACGCATAATACATTGGTCGATAAATAGTCCTTGGAGTTACCATTCATAATTCACCAGGGGATATAACAGTAACCCCTCACCAATCGATATTGTTTGGAATGTTTTACATAATCTGAGTTTATATGGATCGAACGACCTAAGTTTATCCTTGCACGAACATCAGGCTAATTACAGGTAGTCAACAATAACAGACGATGACGGTTATCAAAAAGTTGATTGCTAACACCCACTAGTAATCTATCGGCATGCTTTGACGATTTATTACGGTATGAAGAGTTGACTTTTTAACAAACTCATGTGAGCTAATCTATAAGAGCCTTATAATCAATGTTATTTTATGGTATTTTCCCATATCTTTTTCTCAGTTGACTTGATGTCAGTTACATGTTGCCTTAAGTCAACTGATTGATCAAAGAGCGTTCGTGGTGGAGTATTGAATGTTATCTCTAATTTATAAGGAATACCAACATGAAAAGACCCTCAGAAAAGCTCAGCTGGAGACGAAAAAGCGGACTATGCTTGTTTCAATTGATGAAATGACAAATGGATTATTAACCAAAATCGATGAAAATGTATCAAAAGTAATACTATTTGTTCATACTTATAGTTTTGGTTTTGAAAATAGGTGTTTTTCTCTGTTTGTTGGTGCCATTGCTCTCCAGTTTTTTCTCCTTCCTTAAGGTTTCAGTATATTTTTTTCTTTAAGCAAAGTGCCCATTTTTTTAGATTGTTTGATTTGTCGATAGAGTTCAGAAATACTTTGTTTACCTGAAGACTACTGATACACAAAAATGGGTAGTGTTTTTCACCCAATACTTCAGGGGCTTTGTAGAAAAAAAATAGAAAGTTAGTTTTCTTGTTCGTGTAGATCAAGTGTAACTTGGATATTTTTCTAAATCATAATCATTCTCACTCATATCACAAACCGATTCCCACGGATCTTTTTCGTCCAAAGTATTGTCATAATTTTTTTCTGAATATTTGTAGGAATGTATGCAGTTCAGTTTTCCCTTCGACTTTGCGGCTATACTGTCGTTTTATTCACAGTTTTTGGTACTGTACGTTAAGATTGGAGTATTCTTTTGTTTTAGATTATCCTCAGATAGTTCAACGGTTGTTAAATTAAACGAAATACCAAGTCTATTTATAATTTCATTTTTCGTATTCATATGGGTAAAAGTGAACAAACATACCATACTGTTATGGAAAAGCTTGAGAAGAAGTGATCATATTTCAGTATGTCCGGTAGATGTGTGACCTTTATCCTTAGTACTTATTACTTACTTAAGTAATAAATATTGAGGGAACTCATTTAAAAAAGTTCAAAACACTTTCAAATATGAGTGGATTTTGGTATGTTTTGTAATGATTCTTCAAGTGTTTATTCACATCCCAGATCCCCATACACATAATAATAGTGGTCTACTTACTTATTACTAGGTGATGATAGGTAATCAAATCAGCCAAGAAAGTTTTTTCTGGGGATATCTACCATTCTCGTTTGTGTCACTCAAATCATCCATCTGTTTTAACTGCAAATTCAACATTAACATTAGCTTCATTAATCACTCCATAGGAAATAAAACCGAGATAGGATGTTTGATGTGGTATGATTTATTAGTTTGTTATAATGTTCACATATTTACTGGTGGGCATTTGGTACTGGTTTGTATATATAATACTCTTAACATATTAGTACCATTCAGTTGAATCTGATAAAGCGTAATTGGCATTTTGTTTCAACTTCTTTTTTACGAAACAACAGTTTGTTTTTTTGCCATATTGTGTGGGTTAGAAGCTTGTTAGTTTACTTAACACGAATATTGCCTTAAACCGACAGAATAACTATCTTGCTCATTTGACTGGGCATAAGCTCATTTGATTTATCAGTAGTTTTGCTCGGTGAATACAAAGTCCTAACCTCAGGATAGAAGTTTACTGGTTAGTACCGTGGGCCTCAATCTAATTAGAGTAGCATATGACAGTCTAGCTTATCAGGAAAGTCGATTGCGTAAACTAGTATTAATTACCTAATTGTAAAGTAAATTTTTTTGTTCAAGCTACAAAATTTGAGAGAAATTACGTCAGTTCAGGCTGAGATTCCCAAATCGTGGTGATTTATGTAGAATACTCACAACCTACCCATATATCCTGGGGCTATAGATAATGGTCGTTAAGTAATAGAGAACGGACTGATACAAAGTACACTCGTCAAATGGCTTTACAACGTACGTTGGGTAATGTAGAAAACATCGGATATGTCTATGCAAGTGTTAAAATATAATCAATCATAAGCGTCACTGTAACTGGTTAACTTGTAGTGACCTAATTTTCATGACGAGAGCACGATCGGTGTAGTGAAAACAATTATTATTATAACCAATTGTACCAGTGATTGTTTTACTGTACCAGAAACACTTTTCATTCCGTTGTTCATCTTGTTCGTTCGAACTTTCTTACGCTCTGCCATTTTGCCTGTACTCTTTGGCATGTCTCGTTATTCTTTCGATACCACGAGATCGCCAATAAATATATCCTATCTGGACCAATTACAGCCTTCTGGTTTTGGAGCTATCGAAGGAATCAACTCGTTTTTCTGGCGCGTAATCTTATTGTAGTGGTGATCATGGTAAATCGCGACTAGACGCCATCTACAAACTCATTTAATTTTATCACAATGTTCATAAGTTAGATGTTGCTAGCAGTCATTGCTGAAGGAAGCGTTGTTTTTATTTTGACAAGTGCAATATAAAACTAATATTTTCTCAAGATGCTACAACCCTGAATTTCGTCCGAGTACATAGAGAACTCGAGGAGAATTTGTGAATCTTCAAACAGTAAATAGATTCCCATGAAATGTTATCTGTATTATTGTTTCTGTCTGTTTGTTTGTAGTATTGTTGAACTGAGATACTGATAGTAGATATTGTTGGCGAACACCTTGTTACTATTACTTTATGAGACAACTTGTCTGACAATCTTCTAGAAACAAAGTACTATTGTCCTACCCTCCTGTCACAGCTAAACACCAACACAGGACTTTTGCTGACAAAGTCAAATGAGATCTTTAGATCAAGCAGGAACTATTAAGTAAGCTCATTTCTAAACTTGGAAAAGGGCTAAAATTCCGCCAACATAATCGGATTAAAAATTGTCTCGTTCTGTTTTGTATTACTAGCAATGGAACTTCAAAAATACACAAGTGACGTGTAATAAAATATCTAAAATATTGACAGCTTTAGAGCAAATCTTAAGAGTGAATTGACGAGAGTTAAACCCAATCATGCTTGTTACTTTGGTTTATAGGATTTTGTTAAATTAAAATTAACCGAATAATTTTTGAGATATAAAAGGAGTTTGAAAATTGTTTTATTCTTATTTTATATACAGTAATAAATTCACTTTCGTTGAGTTCAGGACCTTGTGATTTTACGATTGAGTCACTCTATCGACTCCAATGATTGCTATTTTTCATTTAGATTTATTATGGAAAGTTTTGACCCATATGATACTGATAGTGCTACTTATTACAAACCAGGTCTTCTATGTCATTTATTATACTAGAACATTTTTCAACAATTCTTAGTTTTTGGTTGTAAAACTCAAACAACTCAGTAAAATTGAGCATAAGCTTATATTATATTCAATATTTAGCATCCATTTAATACAACATACATTAACTTGATTTCTGTCTTTTTTTAGGCATATATAAATCAGCATCGACTAAACAGTGAATTCAAAGAGTTAATAACTCAATTACATATTTATCAAAACCATGTCAATGTCTGGCTGAAGCTTGTTTCCGATATTCGTAATGTTCTTAAAGAACTAGGTGATGTTGAATGTTGGTCCATGAAAATGGAACAAGATGCAATGCTAATCGACAGTTGTCTACAAACAGTGCTCAGTCGTTATTGAACACTATTTTCCATGATTATAAAATTTGATTTGGTTGTTTTAAGTGCATACATTTTGTAATTTATAATTTTCCATTATCCTATTTCAAAATTATAGTATTTACTTAACATTCAATCAAAATGATAAAATAATTGAGCAGATGGTATTCTTTTGTATGTAAATAAATTGCAAAAGAATTCCATGGTTAATGTTGTCTATCAAAACTTCGCAATAATAATATATAAACATAATTGTCTACTAACAGGAGTTGGTAGTTCGTTATTATTGTTGGGCGGTCGTCCGATTTCTAAAACCGTTGTGCACATTTATACACAAGCCTGACCTGCTAACTTTCGTAAGAAGACTATGAGTTATCAGGAAACTGTATTGGCAAACCAAATCAGATATATTCACAAACTCACTCATTAATATAGATATGTGCCCCTCAAAAAATTGATCCAGATTTTCTACTAATAGCGTATTTCTGTTCCCGTCGGATAATTATGTCATATCCTAACTACTAGTGTATACCCGTCAGCATCTCTTACTCATTGTATGATTGATGCAGGCTATCGATCAACAGTTTGTTGAAGAATAATTCGTAGATTTATTTCTAGAAACACAATTTGCATAATAGTAATAATAATCCGTAACGTAATTAAATAGTAGAAGTGTAGACTCATACTGAAATGGCTTGGAAATATAGGAAAACTTGTTATGAGGACAGGTACAAGAAGAAGGTATAGTAGCACTATTTAGAGTCTTTAGTCTCTGACCGCCTTACTGCATCTATTTCAGATTTTGGCACCAAGTGCATCCTAGTTTTTGGCTGCTAAAATAATCTTGTAATTCATACTAAAACTGGTATGTACTTACTCCTCAGCAAGTCTTTCTGCAACAACAAAATAAGTACTGTTGGTTTGTTTTCAGTGTTTCCAATTCATATTACATTTATCTTTTAAATGTGGATACACACCATGGAGAAATGTAGAAGTTTGTATCTAAAGTTAGATAGCAACCATTTAAAATATGATAACCAGTCCTTCATTGAAAATAACCTTGAAACGTCATCTTCCTAGAAAATTCATTCTTTGGGAGCCACGTATCCTGATGCTTAGCTTCTAAGCGTTAGTGCAAATAAATGCATTGTCCTGACTTAGAGTAAGGATACTTATTAAAGACTCAAGGATATCAGAAAGAGTCAATTTTGATATGACCATTATACCGTTGTGGACCGCGAATCCAATATTGTGTACCTTTTTACAGTACTGGTTTAGTTGAACTATATTTTGGATTTTTATCACTTGATATTTCCTGGTCAAAGGGATAAGTATTAATTCTATAACGATTAGGCAAATCAGAACTACATGATTATATAGCCCTGATCCACCATAATGAGTTTCGACTCAGCACTTTAGCACAAAGGTTATGTATAATATCTGTTTTATTACTGAAAACGTCGGATTACGTTTTGTTTTCTAAGGTAGATGCGCTAGGCTAACATCAATACAACGTTAAGATACTCAATCAAGGAGGATATCCGTGAAAATTCTAACCACTTAATTGGCTTTCCTCAGCGAGATATGGAAGTTATCGAAAAATCAAACCACTCCCAAAATCTTTTGTAAAATACAAGCTGAAGTTTGTAAATGTTCCGAAAAGGCCCTAAAATCAACATGAAATGATTTCGATAATTCTGTACGGAAGTTCTATCTCATAGTGTGGGGAACAGATTATGAACATTCATTGACCTCCGCTATGTACGCATTCAAAGGTAAACAGACACTAGGTGACTCCATTTGGAGACGGTGTAAAGCAGATTAATTTTGTCGTGAGTCTTGTAAATTATTTATTGGTACACCATTCTCATAGTACGTTTAATGTCTTCTAAGAAACCAGGAGATCATGTTAGTTATAGTAGAGCACTTTAAGTACCAAAACCTGCTTAATCGGTCTCAGTTTATGATGCATTACAAGAACTAAAGTAACTGTCGTATCTAGTGTAGAATATCCCTTGATGATCGAGTAACATATCTGTAGCCAACTGTGTAGAAGTCAGGTCTATTTTTAGAGCGTCTTTAGTCATGAATTGAAGTAGTTTGTTACACATCCTACTTCGGGAATCACTTTTTTTTAAAATTCACGTAAAATGTCCCATTAGTTCCATTAAACAAATCCGTATGACTGCTGCTTCTTATTATTTTTTTTATCACATTTGAATAAAATCGGAAACAGATTTTGAAATTACGGATGTCTCTCTACTCGCCATTAAGATTTTCATGGGAGGTGGAAACAATTGCGACCGAATCACGTGGCTGAATCGACCTGATAATCGGAGTGCTTGGTGGTCCACTCCTGTTAGGGAGATAGATATCTGCTAATTACAAACTACATTTATAGCCTAGGTAGATGGATACATTCATAGAGCTAATGTTAACAAAAGAGTTTTGGTTTCATTCTAAGTAGTAACCAAGCTCGTTGAAGTTTGGTTCTCATATTCGTACATGTATTGTCGTAGTAAGACTGGAGACAATTCGCTTATATTTCTATTATGGTTATCATTATATAGCAACATCAGCATAAACGAAACTGGTGCATAATGCAATTGATTGCATGTGTAGACGTTCATGAAGCGTATTACCAGGGTCAACAGACGGTGAACGAATTAACATTGCTGTAGAGAGCTAATAATAATAGTGGAGCTTCTCATAATCAGATTTATTCTTTTTGGTCCCGTTCCAAATTCCTAAATGTCACTTTTTATTTCATCTTACCTAATGAACTGTTATCACTAGTTGGTACTTTTACCATACTATTTTTTGATTTGATATCCAAGGTCAGTGACCCCATATTTATTTAATCATTCTTTAAACACTTGATCTTATATTTTCAAATAAAAGCTTTGGAGAAGTGATGTTTTCTTCTAGTTATATATTGCGTTAGTATATAGCTGTCGTCCAAACTAAATGTGACTAATGTTCATGTCTATAACTAATTTCGGTTTCCGTCTAGTATTTGGGATCATTATCAGAAAGTTACAAGTAAATGTCATTGTATGATGATAAATTAAGGACTTGTAAATCATAATTTTCGAAACAAATAAACATGAAATTCACAATTGATTGATCACTGGGTGGTGATCAATGTCATGCGTGTCAAGTTCGGTCGGTCGCGGCTCGGATAGCTCAGTGGTAACGTCCCTGACTGTGAAGCTGAGTGACACGGAATCGAATCCGTCAGGGAGCACCAGTTCCCTCAAGATTACAGGTACATCTTGCTGACGAGTGCCAAGTAACACGAGACCCGGGTCCAGGGTTTCCTGTTGACCACCTCCAACCACCATCTTATCTAAACAGGAAATTCGCTCTACTTCTAGACGCTCATAAATTGAACCGAATGAAAACTAACCAAGTGGACAAATAGAATTCATCATTCTGTGACCTGTTATCGTGCACAGTAATCTAAACTAAAATTGATACTCTCTTAACCCATTATTATTCTACTTAAATAATGTAGGCAAAATCATCGCTAGTAAAATTATAGATTTATTAAATATTATTAACAAGCATTTGATACAATATTTACTGTTGAGAAATACATTTTCTATACGTTTTGTTTGTAATAATTCCATCAAATTTTGCTTAGTGTATTAGGGATTCTTTCAATTTCATGTTTAAAGATGAAAGTAAAACACAATCTTCATCGAAATGAGGTGGGAAGTCTGCATCTTGTAACAATGGACATTGAACGTTTGCGCAATCATAAAATGACTTTTGCTGAAATATGTACAAAAAAAACACGATGTACGTAATGATAATTAGACAGTTTGTGAAATAGAGTAACGAATACTAAGTTAGACCTACAAACTGATGAATTCATTTCGATAAATGGTCCCGTGTTATTGGAATAAACTATTTGATAAGAAATTATTATTATTACTACTGTGATTATTGGTACTAGTATTAACATTAGTGTTACCATGTTAGGTAATCAATGAGTTTATATCCAAATACTCTTGGTTTAGTATAGCGAGAATTCCCGTACTCCTAGTTTTTTTTGGATTAATACCACTAAAAGCAGTTGCTGAGGTTATCCTCTAGGTTTTCAATACTCAGTAGGCATGTCATATTCAACAGTTTCAGTCATTTTTTCCCTTCAGTATGTTATTTTCACTAAATATTTCATTTCAAGCGTCTGGAACTATTCTCAACTGTCTGCTATGCACATACTTAGTGTAGTGTAGCCCAACATGCCGGATGTAAAACAAGTATAATAGAACATATATGAAAATTATATGTGAAATAATTTGAGCGATTGAAATTTAAAATAAATTATAATTTTGGTTTCAATTACAGCCCTGAAGAGGTTCAGACATGTTTGTTGGACGATACGTAATTATTTACATTTCAATCGCTGAGGTTATTTAAAATAAAATTTTCACACATAATGTCTTCTCTATACTCGGCGCCCATGGTCCTAATATTGACAAATATTCCTATAAATATCTTAAAAGTTGGTGCTTGAAATGGACTTTTTCATAGACATACATCCCAATACGTAGTATTTACATACTAAACAAACGGAAAAGTGATCGAAAGTCCAGCACTGAAAACTCTGAGGATAACCTCACCTGTTTAATCCATACTGACCTATGTGGCTAAGCGTTACTGATTCTAAAACTTTTGTTCTGTAATTCAGCTGAATCATTTAATCGGAATAAATAAATTCTTGAATATGTTTTGCATACATATTTCATATACAATTAATTTATTTGCTGTCTTGAATAAATAACTTAATAACTAGTCTACGTTTTTTGATTATAATTTTCTGAGAATTTTTGAACACGTTTTTGGTTATTCTCGTATATCAATGTGGATTTGTCCATACATATTTTCACCCTGCATACTACTTTGAAAAAAGGTTACTGTGATTTTAGTGACTAGGAAAGCCTCCAAATGCCCTGGTACGGCCGAGAGTGGGGATTCCGCTCTCCCTCTCTAAATGCTCTCACGTGACCACGCGTATATAGCCTCTGACAGGGAAGTCCTACTCACTGCCTTCTCGTGTGTTGTTCATGAAAGTGAGAGGACGAAAAGCAAATGTCCGGCGCTTGAACAGCGTTGGTGGACACGGAGGGTTCACCTAGGGGAGTTGGAAAAC